TACCTTTTCTTATTGACGCTTAATGCTCATTTTCAGCTTCAAAATAAGTTATGATCGAAATTGACTTTAGGATTGACGATGGAAAGTATTAAAAAAAAATATAGTGTTGAGTGCTTTCCAGCAAAAGGTACAATGTAACATAGTGATCATTTTAGCTTTGTTTAATATTAACAAACAATAAGGATACATGATTCACTGTGTTATCTGCATTTCTTGCTAAAAGGCACCCAACACTGCATTCTTTTTTATACATTTTCACTGTCTAGCGTCAATTTTGAATAGATTCAACTTTCAATGTCAAGTTAAGAGCACGTGCTGACACTATTTTTCAGTGTCTCATGAAATGGCACCTTTATGTGTAACAAATTTTTATTTGATGCGAACTTTGTTTGACATCCACGGATCTATACGATATTTAGGAACTAACTCCGTTTTCAATTAAACAATCCATTTAAAGTTCGCTGAACTCATCCTGCGGTTTGTGTATAAACATATAGATATATACTACGTGTATATACATATAGATATACTACGTATATATTTATTTACATGCATGTACCCTGTTGAGATAAGAATGTGGTAAATGTGCTACAGTTATGAATTTCGATATGCTTATCATATGCATGCCAGTTATCACTGTCATTTAGAAGCGTTAAGGTCGAAGCACAGATTTTTGCATAACGCATAATGCTTGAGGCATAAAAAGTCAACCAATCAGTCTTTTATTTCACGGAAATGAAGGATTAATTTATTTTCATTGATTTATTTTCTTATGCATTCTCGTTATGCAAAATTCTATGCTTCCGTCCTTATTCAGGAAGGAAGGATGAATGAACGCTTCTTGGAAAGGACTGACTCCTGAGGACACGGCCGCCGAACCCTTAAAATAGGCGGAGAATTCCCCGATTAAACGGTCCGACCAGCTGGTCAGCTGACAGGAACACTACGCGGCATCGTGAACCGCAAAACCGGTTCGCGAAACGCTTGTGGGAACAAAGACAGGTTCCGCGGCTCGCTCTCTGACGTCACACGGCGAAGCGGAAAGTGGGTGGGTGGGTGTGCGAGGTTGTCGAGTCAGTGAGGACGGTCAGTGATTGCTCCTTGGGCTGGATCTTCTTCTACGAGACAACTCGGACGACTTGCAAGGCTCACCCATTCCGGAAAGAGGACTCGACAGACACGCAGAAACCGTAAGACATTCTATTTCTAACTAATTGAGGAGATACCATGAGAAATACATGACTAGACGATAGTAATTACTTTAACAACACTGTATGCGCGTGTACATGAACGTGTGTTTAATAAATTATTATTCGTCGAATTACGTTGTAACTAAGTTAATAAATATGTAGGTAAGAAAATTATAGTAAGTAAGAAAACTTTATCATACAGAAGACTTGAAATTTCCAAGGACGTCAATATACTTTGATTAATTCTCTCATTGAATGTTCAATAAATCGATAAATCAAGATTTAAACATTTATTGTGGATTCGAAAGTATGTTAATAACCGAAGATCAAGATTTCAATAGATATGGCAAAGTGAAACTTGTGGGAAACTCTGATTCCTTGAATCATATCCGACGCAGGTGATACATTGTTTGTATGCACGCGCGAACGTACCATTATGCAATTTACATTGCAATAACGTTTCGTCACGGCCAGCAACTTAATGCGTCACCAATCGTTTTCAGTGACTCAGAAAGTCATCGGAAAGTGGAAGAGGACCCTTTCCTCGAACAGGTAAATCAACTTTAGTCCAGTCATGATCGGCATTTCTCGATTGCACAATTGAACGCGCGCACGCGAGAATCCCCTAAGAATCTTTTTTTTTTCCTGGTCTTGTTGATGTTCGAACAACATAATGTATCCCGGTTATGAGCAAAAAGAAATAGATGGAATTGTAAGACAAACTGGTTATAACAGACGCGAGAAGGAAAGAAGTATATCAGCCGCGGCTATTGAGAGTGAAAAAAAAAGGAGTCGCGATGAGGATGAGAAAGTAAAAAGACTGGGAATCTCTGCAATCGAGAAACGAGTGATTCACCAAGCCACAAAAAAAAAATAAGAAAAAGAAGGAAAAGCAAAGAGTGGTATCTCAGAAGCAATACGATCACTTACTTTCTTCATTTCACTCATTCCGCGATGATGACGATGGCAAAAAAGCGTCCTATCCTGCTAGAAATATTGATGGTTTTTTTCTCACTCCCTCCTCTCTCCATCCTTTTTCTCAAAGTAAAAATTGTTATATGTTCCAAAGAAATAAAAATAAATAACAAAAGCAAAATACTGTAGGATATTTAAATACAGTTATCAATTAGACCAAATGTTTCATGCAAAGCAACCAACGAGACAACTTCGAAATTTCAAGGTAGCTTCGTGAGCTGTTTGCTCCAGTTTTCTTTCATCAAAAGAGGAAAAGAGAAAAGAGAGATAGAGATAAAAGCTACTTCTCTTATACACAATTATGCAGAAATGGAGAAAGGATTGATCGAACAATCAGAGCTTCAAAAAAAAATTATCCTTGAAAAAAAATTATAATTTTTCATCATAAAAATAAGATCCAAATAATTGTGAAAAACTGCAACATATTGCATATTGTTTCTTATTTATTTAATTCATATTATACTTCGCGAAAGATGTAAGTACAGTGTAAAATTTTTGTCAATTAGATTTAAAAAATTATGTAAGCTTAAAAATTAGAAAATTTATAATAATAAAGTCATATTATGTTATTTGTTGATATAATAATAAATAATTAAAACTACGCAAGAATAAGTTCAAAACAATTCCCCTTTGATATAAAGTATCCCAGTAGTATACGTATCCCTTTTACAAATCTTCAACGGTTCAAAGCCCTCCTACAAAGGGCTCGCATTGCGTTGGTCCCCAGAAACCTCCCGGTAGAGGAACGTCGTTGACACGTAAAATTTATCACGTAAGAAAAACCACTCTTTTTCCTTACTCCACTCCACTCCACTTCATTCCATTCGTAAAACTCTACTTATAACCTTTAACCTCGATTTCAATCGACAACAACTGACGCTTTGTCTAATAGTAAAGAACCGTGTATTACAAATCTCGCCGGGAAATAGCATTTAAAGATCTCGGTCATCAGATTATACCGGAATGTATAGATACAACAAGAATGTAGCCACAAACAAAAACATTTCCTTGGAATCGTGTATGTACAAAAAATATCATATGAATATTCTTCAAACATTATCACGTACACACTAATAATGTTAATTATTTTTTTATGTATAAATTACATAAAAAAATATATATATATATGTATATAATCATGAATCATTAATTACGAATATTAGTTCGATTTCTGTTATTCTATATTACTGTTTAAGTAGACTTCAATTTAATCTTTTCTAAAAAATTTAAATAAATAAAAGTAAAAATTGACAACACAATCGAGTTAAATGGCGATGTTTCTTTTGTTTCCCCCATCATGCTCAAAATTTTATGACGATGAATATGTGAAAGATAAAGAAAAGAATGGACACAGTAAGTATCGAAAACAAAAATCGCGCAAAGGTTTAAGGAGTAGTTTCCGGTCACTTTGTGAGGAATTGTCGTCGATATGAAAGACTGAATCACAAAACAAGAATATGTGATAAAAACGCTACGGGATGCTGGAAGTGAGACGAAGAAGCTCAAGTCAATGAGAAGCTATATATCCTTTTGTGCTGCGCCTTTCTTGTGGAATTCAACGGATCGTCCATTGAAGGAAAAGTCGGTCAACGAAACACAGCTCAGGCAGTAAATTCGCCACGAAATGAGCTTTTATTGAAATGGAAACAAGCGATACGATACATTCTGAAATCGGGACAATTGTAGGAAATGAAGCTCCTTCGTAGCCAGTACTTTTCGATCAACTTCTACTGTATCGTATCAACTTAGAATCGATCACGTATTTAAAAAGGATACGGGTTTGCTGAAGTATCTAAAAATTAATTTAGCCAGATATAAATCTGCAGAAAATGATTTTGTTGGACAAAATAATTCTATAAAATGCTTAAACCTTGATGGCCAAAAAAGTTTTAATATTCTACCAACACCAGCTTGATCATCCTACAAAATTACTTTGATAATCCAAACAAAATTATTTTCAGCTTTTTAACTAGCTAAATTTTCAGAGATTTCAGCAAAACCGTTCTTCTTATCACACATCGATTGGTTGCTCTGCAAAAACTAGTACATACAACACTAATAACAATTTTTAATTAGAAGTTCATTCTTTCCCCGAAATTATTACGTTCTGTCTACAAGTTAAATAGTTTCCCTATATATAAAGCATATATTAATTTTTTATTAGAGTTAAAAACCGCCTCTCGACACAAATACTTTCCTAAGTATAATAATAATAGTATAGTTAAACTTCTCCCAAAATATGGTGAAAAGTTGAAGGCAGCAGATCCGTCGTCAACAATTATTGGACTCGCGATAAACCACCGACGAACCGCAGGGAAAAGCCAAAATTGTTTCCCCGCTCGTTCTATCGCCGTTTTGGAGTTTGGAAATTCATTCCTCGATGACGAGATGAGAGAGTTTATCGCTCGGTTCTAGCAATATTCATTGGGACGCTCGATGAATTCAATTTTACAGCAACGATTTGAATGCAGATCGCTTTGGCAAGAGCTTGGAAGTACGATACACGATGTAATACTAGCTAACATTCTACAATAAAAGTATATATGGGGGAAGTCAATTTTTTTCGCAATCAAATTCTAAAATATTAAATTCTGTAAATAGACACATATATAAAATCAGAAGTTGATGAATCCAAACATTGTTGGTTAATTGTTGGATAAACTTTCTTCCGTCAAGCCTCATTTAAAGAAGCCTTCCGAATTCGCCGGTCGCTGACCGGCAAAATCGGACAAGTCGCGGAGCAGGGTTTGCGATCGATCGATTAGTCGCATGATCGGCCGAGCAGTGACCGGAAAGCATCAGAGACAATGAGGAAGTGATGGAGGTGTGGCTCACCTAGACCCATCTTGCGCTTGAGCTTCTTGAGCACTTTCATCTTGCTGCGCAACGGTGCCAGGATGTTGTTGTCGCCGCTGTTGTTGTGTTGCGGCGACGCGCTTGGCGGTGCGTGCTTGCCGTGATGGTGATGATGATGGTGATGATGATGGTGCTGATGGTGGTGATGGTGATACGGCTCGCAGGATTGCTGCTGCTGCTGCTGTTGCTGTTGCTGCTGCTGCTGCTGCTGCTGCTGTTGCGATTGTTGCACGCTCGCGCCGGAACTCCCGACGTGGCTGCAGCAGTGACAGGGGTGGCTGCTTTTGCTGCCCTTGATCGCACACTCTCCGGACACCCCCATAAATATGGCCGTACTGCTCTCGCGAGTCAGACGCGAAAAACCGCGACTACAGGGGTGTAGATGAAGACTGGAAATAGGGGAGCAAACGGCGCGGAATCGATATACGAACGATCTAATTCCGATGATCTCACTGACGATCGCACTTTCGGACACTGATCGCGAAGACAGAAGATTTACTCCCTCAGCTTCTCTTTCACAACACTACGCTCGGTCGTCAAACTACCTTAAAACGAAAACGTTAACGTGAAGAAAATCTGATGGAGAAAACGACCGAGACATAAAAATTAAACGTTACTCCGTAATCCTTTCCCGTTTAGACTGTTATTTATTCGGCGATGTGTCTGACGGGTGGACGTCGCGATCACTGCGCAAACCTTAAATCCAAGACAGAGAAAGAGAGAGAGAGAGAAAAGGGACTTGCGAACGAGACCGCGTGTCACGGCGACGAATGGGGCGATCTAGCACGTAGATCGCGAATCGCCTGCGTGCCCCGTCGAGCGCCCTGGGACGACTGACTGTTTTCTGTCGCGGAGCGCGAGAGTATTGCCGCAACGCGCGCGAGCCGGCATCCAATGAAACCGGGCGGATCCCCACCGTTCCCGGAGATGGAGGTGCATGGAGGGGTAGATTGGCACCTGGTGGACAGCTGCCCTTTACCTGGCCGCGATGCACCCGGCCACCCCAACGCACGAGGCCGGGGATACATCGTCGTCCAGAGTATACGAAGCGGCTGGAAGAGAGGACTCCTCTCCATTAATTTCGACCTCTAGACTAGGCCGTCAAAGTTGGTTCGCACGTTGATTCTCTTTTCACGTGAGATTCTAGGAATATACAATTCCATTCTAATTGCCGAAACTGTCGTTTCACAATGAAAATGATTAGTGAAAGAATCTCCAATTGTGTAATAATTTAATCAAAAAAGCCTTCTGAGAATATATATATATATACATTATCGGTCGGTTGGTAATTTAAAACGTGAAAATGAAGCCGCTGTAACTTTACAAAGAATTGATAAATTGCTTCTATCGAATCGAATGGGAATAAATAAATCCACGAGCGCGCTGCAACGCCTCCGTTTTTGGTTCTCGACTTGGAAATGCGCGCAGCTCGAAGCGTATCGAGAGGAAGATCGTGTTTCCATGGGATTCAAGATGCGCCTCTCATCCCATGACGACGCGGACCAAGATCGCCACGCTAACTACAAATTACATAATAACAGATAAAAAGAAAATGATATTCGTGGCGCACGACGGCGTCACATATGAAGAAACTTTATACAGGTACCCATATCTCCCTTTAATCCGTCACGCGCGAAGATCACAAAATTCGTTCGATCCCTTGCGTCCGATATTTCACTTAATTTCCATGCGGGCACTTTCAAAACGATGCAGGAATGATGTATTGGTATAAGAGAGGATTTTTAATCACGATTAAATTGCGTTATAAAAGATATATCAAAAGGGAAGAGCGATCTCCTCCAGAAGAGATAAACTAGCTTTTTCCGCCGGATAAAATTCAATTTGCGCGAAGGAGACACCGAATCGACTTACGCGCGAAAAGAAACATCATTATGGTTTGAGTGAAGGGAGAGAGTTATTGGATTTGTATCGAGTCGAAGAGATGAAATCGAAGTCTCATCAATCGATACAACGGATACTCGCGAGAATTCGCTTTTCATTTCCGACGTGATAGAAAGACTTTAATAGCATAAATGGAATTAATATATACAATTAATATATAAATTTAATTTGACGAATTATGCGTATATTAAAATTGTCTATATTAAAATACACTAATCTAATCTAAGTGTAAAAGCCTATTGAAAAAAATGATTGGCTGCTGCAGCAAATTAAATGGTAAAATATGGCATTTTTAGTTGCATTAGCCTATCGGAATCCTATACTGACATTGCAGATAAGCTAACTAAAAATTGGCTGCTGCAACCAATTAAAAATACTATACCATATTTTACCACCTAATTTGCTGCAACAGGCAATCTTTTTCTTCAGTATATATTAAAATACTGATCTAATAATAAGTGTAAAAGTAAAATGCAAATACTTAAAAATATAAAATACACGTATTTTACCAAACAACACAATAAAGTGTATTGAAGATTTTGCAGTTTACTTGTTTTTATATTTCTATGAAATTCATATCTTTACGTCAATTTATCTTATATGCACTATAAGTACGTCCAACCGAATTCGCTATAAAAGTCGATTAGTATTAAGGAGGGAGAGGAAAAAGAACAACTACAATGAAAAACACTTGCTAATACATGTTGGCACAACCCCTTCATATCGATGACCTTGTTCGTAATTCTCCCCCCCGTTTGCTTTTGTATGTCGGTTACGACGCTAAATGACTCGTATTCACAGAGACCCCATCGTCCGATAACTCAAATTTCGCCGACAGGTTGCGGCATTCGTGCAAGGTGCATCCGATGTGCAATATTATGCACCCTTGCGAAGTACTACGGTGCCGTTACAACAGTCCGGAAAAAAACCGCTGCTACTTTATTCATTCGCCTCTTTATCTGCCCTATCGATTTCGCGCCTATAAAAGAATTATGCAACCGCGTCAAAAAGGAGAGAGAAATATAACTGTTCGTGAAACAATGACCCTCAACAATACAATGTCACTTTGTCAGCCATTGTTCCAACACAGTTAACGGGATATAATCAGACGTCACTTTGAACGCGACATTAGTTTCTATTTACATCTCAACACTCAAATTTGTTATAATACGTCACAACGCAGTTGAATTCCTTTTCATTCCGACAAGTGAGATTCAACTGAGTTTTTACCTACAATCTGCACAAGCTCGAGATGTGCTTTCCTGAGTCTTGTTAACTCACATTAAAAGAGTTAAGATTACAATCTTGTATTGTTACGCGATAACTTTGTTATCAAAGCAAGCAAGCAGTGATGTCACTATCTGAGTATAAAATACTCATGTAACTTTAGACTGAGTATCACTTGCATGAAAACAGAAAGCAACTATTGTTTTCTGCAAGGCGCGAAGGTACGAGAAAAAGAAGACGCGCAAATACGCGAAAGTCAAATTAAAACGGAATCTGTTCGACCGTGGCTCTCGAAATGAAAAGGCGTTTGTCACGCTACGCGGATTTCCTCTCGCTCTTGTGTGTGCATGTCGCGAGCATTTTCATTCATGGCGGGAGGTAGGAAACGAGCCGGCATTCTCTCTCTTCTCTCCTCTCTCTCTCTCATACGGATGGGAAATATGCTCACAGCACCGTGGCCGCGCGGCTTCCTTTCGCACATCCTTTTCGTCTCTTTTGCATAAACGATTGCGCGCGACAGTAGCAACGGGCGCCAATTGTCCGCCTTCATTCATCGAAATTCAATAATGTACAATAGATGGACGCCAGAAAGCTTCTCGAGATACGGAAGCGTTCATTTCAAATACGCGGAAACAATCATTTCGCGTTGTAATAATTTTATGTAATTGTACGTCGAAGATAATAATAAAATATAGACAGCTTCGTATTTTTCTTCTATGCGATAAACAGAGTTCTCTCGTAATGAACATGACAAGTAACTCGAGCCTTTCATTCCCGTGAGCGATTTAACGATTTAATTACACAACGCAGCAGTTCCGTAAGAGAGAATAATGACGAGACGTCACAGACACGTCCGAAAGTATGCTTCTTACATCGCCACCTCAATTAATTCCCCGCTCGTCTCTCATTATATCCCCGCTGTATATACGCGGGCGCATTGTTACTTGCACACGCGCGTGCACGCACGCGGCCCATATGCGGCTATTTATATGCACGCGTGGCCGCGTACACGCACGCACGCACGCACGCACGCACGCACGCACGCACGCGCGTCCTTTCTTCGCCGCGTCGCTATACGGTGATGATAATAATACACCTCGTTGACCGCAAACATAGACACGTGAATTTCACGATGCGAATGCAAAGGAAAGTCCTCTATCGAAAACACTTTCGGGGAAAAAAATCTGACAGACTTGACTTTTCCATCGTTGGGAACTCTCTAAATCTGAATCAGTGCATAGTCACTAATTACAGTAATTACCCAGTGGCATACTTGGTACTGGATAATCAGTGAAGTTCAAAAAGAAAGAATGTTTCAGCAATATAATTAAAATAAAATACTGATATTTGTATGTTAATTTCAATCTTCTAATGCTACATTCATTGAATTTATAAAACAAGATTAGTTAGATCATATAATAAAGATTAAATAGGTTAGGGATCTCATATTTCATTCACTGATTACCAGTGGCATACTTGACACTGATATCAGTGATTATCCACTGATTCAGATTTGGAGAAAAGGAAAATATGTATTTTGTTGACATTTACCGCAAAATTTAATGGATTCGTGCGAATAAACTTTTACAGGATGGAAAAGTTACTATAATGGCTAAAACATGTCATAATTTGAGTACAACATAGAAAGAATAGTTTTGTTACATTATCTAACAATTTTGCTAGATCTGAAAATAAATTTAATAGTCCAACAAAATTATTTTCAGATCTATATCTAAAAAATTTTAGATCTTTTATCAAAATCGTTCTTTAAAATCATGAAAGAGTACAATGAAATGATACATTATTAATAATTAAACAAATCCTACTCAAGGAAGAGCTGTAAAATTTAAAAAATAGATTCATCTTTTAAGATTAAATAATTGGACAAAAATACGAAATATATCTTTGAACATTCAATTTGAAATTTATCGAGATAAAATATTTTTGTGTAAGTGGATTATTTTTTTCTCTCCTTTACTCCAGGAATTTTTAACGCCAGTGAATCGACATAGCTCACGTGCCCTCTGCGATCTCGTGGAGGCGAACGTGAAGCCTCGCGAATCCGGTCATAGCCTCGAGGAAACGGAAACACGCCTCGGTAGCTCACTCACCGCCTTCACGGAACTTAAAATCTGACCGGCGATACGTTTTGGAGAACGCTCAGAGAAATACACAATGAACAATTTACTCGGCGTTTTTTTCTTTCTTTCTCTTTCTCTCTCTCTCTCTCTCTTTCTAAACTTAGCATAAAAATAGGATTTAATATTTACAGACAAAAAATATGCTTCTTTATTTTTACAAGTTTCATAAAAGCGCGTCTTTGTATTCTCAAAACAGGATTGATTATTGAGTTCCCTCTTTTATTTTCCAATCGTGCTGCATTGAAAAAAAAAATGTTTTGTACAATTTGTGACTTACAAGACCTTCCTTACTTTTTAATTAAAAAATTTTGTTATTTAAATTAAAAAGTAAGAAAGTTTTTGTAAGTCGCATATCATACAAAATATTTATCTCAGTATGGGTTTCAAATTTTCAATTGCATTTTCAGGAAACAGTCGAATGATAGCAGGCTAGCTGCAAGAGGCTGTATCGTACATTCCCTTCATTCCGCAGCGTCAAATAAGGGGTTGTTCGGTCCAGCATCTGTCTGTCATGTCGTCTGATGCCGCGCGCAAGCAAGCAAACGGCG